ACCGCTCTTATGACTTCTGTATATGCGTCAAATGCTAAACTCATTGATTATTAGTACAAACACTCTATATATACAAATTCTGTGGACAAAACCCCACATTGGGTAAACCATTGACATATTCATAACTTGTGTTTTTGTGTGATTGTGAATCTTTTTATTTATATTTTGACTCTTTAGTAACATTACGTAACAATATGACTGTCACTCTGAAGAACTACTCGATAAGAAGCTGATATCATATTCAAATGTAAAAATTTAGGGGCCAGCGAGCGACTGCAGAATTCTCAGCCTACTCGAAGGGCCAGCAACAACTTGGCTCTTACAGTGAATCTTGTATTCTTCTTTTCTTGATATAAACAGTGAATCTCAGCCATCACAATCTCCATTCAAATTTTAGCCGGAGACACATTCATTGCTGCCCCATGGTAAAAATTGGTTTACAGTCCATGACATCGAAGACAGGACAAGAGTACACATCAGTGGTGCCTTAATTCGACGGTAAAAGATAGAGATATGTCAACGATGGCGTGACCAAAAAAGTGTGCAAATTGAAGATGAGTGTTTGTATTTATTTATCAACAGTGTCAGTTGTTTCATCATACGTCCCATTTATACCCACTGCTTTTAATGTGGTGTTTTGCTCATGTCTTCCACATGTTTGTTTCAACCCAACCCCCTAGGAAAGAAAACCACAACATTATCACTTCATCTTTCTCCAAATTTAACTACACTATACACCTTATTTTGCTTGTTCGGACCAACCCTTTCATTTATTTTAGTAACGCGGCCACCTGTATTTAGGTTTTTTTTTTTTTTTTTTGGGATACAAGCGATATTTGGGAAGGATAAACAAAACTTAAGACCTCGGGTACATGAATAAATACTCTTAACCACTTGAGTTACAAATCCCTTACAGTTTTACCCTTTAAATAAAGAGTGACGCTATTCCCATCTACCATTCCTATTTTCTTACGTCTCTTCGAAAACTGAGAGACTAATGCTGCAGTCATGGGTGGGTGCCCACCTTCTATGGTAACTCACTTGTTTGAGTGCTGCACATGTCTGACAATGGAACACAATATCAAAGAGTATTGAAACACAGCTCCAGCCTTTTTCACACTTTCCTTTTCAAAATTGTAGGAACCACATTGGACCAATGGATGAACTTCCAACCACTACATTGAATCGCCTACCAATTTCAATTTAACAAACTTATCAATGGAACATAAATTTTTCTTTATTTTCCTTTCTTCCTTTTAAAAGCATGTAGGGTTGTTGAACTTGAACCAAAGGTTTATACATGTATGAGTTCTAGGGTTGTGGCTGAGTAAAATTGAAGTGGACGTTGAAGGTGAAGAGGAAGGAAAGAATGCGTGGCTAATAAAAGGTTGAAAAGCCCATGGCCTGTGAGAGGAGAGGACAGCAACGAAGAGAATACGTGGCTTATATATTATTCATATAATAATGCCACTCGCTGGTTTTCTTGTTTTACAAATTTCTGCACTAGTGAGGTAATTTCAATGATCTGTCTTCTGCTTCTTTTTCTTCCCAAAAGATTCTGTTTCCTTTTCTTACTCAAGAGATTCTTTTTCTTTTTCTTTTTCTTTTTCTTTTTAGGATGAATTGCCTAGAAACTTTCATTTGTCTGTGAACAAGAATTTGAACACGAACAATTTGTGCAGAGAAACAGTCCAAAACAAGAACAATGACATCAAAGCAAGATCACAAAACTACAAAAAGGCAAAAAAAAGCCAAACCGGCCAAGGAGGAAACCAGATCGAAGATAAACTCAAAAGATATGAACATAAAAATTAAAACAAACCCCACAGAGAATATTAAACATTAAGCAGAAGTAGGTCCAAAAACATAAATATTTGATTAATTAATAAGCTAAGCGAAGCTAATTAAGCTATGCAGCTTTTGCAGTACAAGCCAAATAACTGCAACACAGATCATGTAGCACACTAGCTAGATCTTCATCAACCCCGCCTTCCCTGATCTCTTCTCCCACGCTTCCACTGCTTCTCTCAAAACCCAGTTCTTGATTTGCATGCAGCTCTGCTCTGGCTTGTGATCTCTGCCTTTTCATGGCCTCCCTTCTGCGATCATGATCTGCCATCCTAAAACAAAACCACCCACAAAAGGGAAAAAGAATAAAAACCAAAAAACACATATTCAAGAGAGAGAGAGAGAGAGAGAGAGAGAGAGAGAGAGGAAAATATACTCCTTATAGAAGGTGAGATGATGATGGGTTATCCCTGAAACACACAGAGGAAGGCCAAAGGTGCCATGGAGGTTTAACATGGACTGCATTTTTTGTTTTCTTTTCTCTGGTTTTTGATGGCTGTGGAAAAAAAATAATTGAGGGAATTTTAGATTGTAAGTATGTATCTATTTCTGGTGTTGGTTTTTGGGGATTTATTTTGGGAAATGAGTTGGTGTAAGCTCTGAAAAGGTAATTAAAGCAAAAGGGGTTGATCTGTTGATCTATCTAATTGTAGAGAGAAAATCTGACACACTAGGTTATAGGACCATGGGAAAGATGCATACTGTGAAAGCTTGCCACATGGTAAGGGAAAGGACATGGGCTCTCATTTCTTGCTGTCTGAATGATTACTAGGCAAAAAGATTTGCTTCATGCATTTGGGTCTAAACCAAGCCCAATTTGTGTGTTAAGTCGTCCAGTGTGTTTCTAAGCCTAAAAGCCCAGATGGTGATGATGCCAACAAATTTATGACTGAAAAGTCACGCTGAGTTTAGTTTACAACATCGTTAGAGCATCTACAATAGGCTCTTTAAATCACATCTTTAGATAAATTTTAGGGAGGATGGGAAAAATATAACTTCAACTATGATGATATCCACCTTCTAAAATAT